TATTTTACAATTTTAAAAATCTACATTTACAAAACTGAAATAATTTCTATTCTCCATCTCTCACACACCCCAAATCTGTGCTTTTTCTTCTATTTCCTGTCTTTGAACATCAGTTACCCGTCTTACCATTCACCTAGTGGCCCAAGCCAGTAATCTAAGAGTCATCTTTGACCATGCTCTTTCACTCTCCCATTTGTAATTAATTACAAAGTTTCATACATTCTCCCTCATGAATAAAGAGTTAACTTGGGCTAGTCATCTACTTCCTCTATACCCAAAGCTTCTACCTAAGTTCAGGCCACTGTCATTAACCTTAGAGTCTCGTTTTATTCCTTCCCACCCTCCATAGAATCCTCACAATCATCCTGGGACAAAGGCATTACTATCCCCATTTCACAGCTAAGGAGACTAAGCCTTAAGTGGATTTTGAATTTGAACTTAGGTTAAACTTTCTTGGGAAGAGCCTATGTGGTGAATTTTCCTCCCTAGATCCCTTGTATGCTGGTTATTCTGTGTGCTGTGTCTCTTCCCACCCAACTCCTCCTGCCCTGTTCTGGGAAGCTGACCTCTATGAACTATGTCACTCAGACTATCTTGCCTCTAGGCTTCTATTTGGCTTTTGCCAATGGAAAGTACTTGTTAGAGACCAGAGAGCAGGAAGAGAGAATGATTAGAGAGCATTTATTTCTTTACTTCATTTCTGCTTATAGCAGCTGCTTAGTCCTTATGGCCATAGCTCTTGTCAGGCAGTCCGTCTTCCAGATTGTAGCTGTAGGTAGGCTCTCGTAACAACACTCCCTTCCCTTTTTCTTCAGGTCAAGAAATCCTGCTAATTTGGCACTCACTCTTGGTGTGTTTTGCCATTCCTCCCTAGTTCTTGTGAATACTCATCATCTGTAAATAGCCCTTTGGTTCAACTCTCTACAGTTAAACCCTTTTGAATGCACTAGCTGTTTTTCTCCAAGGATTCTGAAGGATAAACTAGGAAAACAATAAATGGCATGTTCTTGCACTTCCATTCATTCAATTTCTAATATCTACAATGGAGTTTCTTTCCTTTCCTCTGATCCAAAGTTTTCCATCCTTGTGGGACTCCCTGGTCTTCCAAAAAGCCTCTCTATATACTCTGTTACCTACAGAAAAACACTGTTGTTACCACTATTGTGCTGTATCTAGTATGACATTAGTACTCTATTCTCCTACGGTTCTATGATCATTCAGTTTTGTCAGTCTGATCATCCCTGCAAGGCAATAAGCTCTTAGCAGTAGGGAACTTCAGAAATTAGAATCTCAAATGAATGACAAACATATTTTAGAAGGAAACTTAGAGGTTACCTTGTCTAACTTACTTATTTTATAGATGTGGAGGTTTAGGTTTATGCAGCTATAAAATAGTGGCAAACCTAAACCCATAATCTAGATTCTTCCTATTGCCTAATCATACCGTGATACTGCAATGAGTATTAGTGGGCACTCAATATGCTAATTACTCCTAAATTTATACAGCTTTTGTTTTGTTCAATGGTAGGCCCTGTGCCTAATAATCTCACACATAGTATGTGCCAAGCAAATATTTGCTTATTTTGAACCTGCGACACAAGACTAATTTCTTAGAAGTTAATCAGAACTTGAAGGATCATTTATAATAATCATCCCTTATACACCTAGAGAAAGTGTATAGTTTGCAAAGTGCTTTCACATTTAAATGAGCCCATTTGTCCCTCTGAGGCAGACACAGCAGGAATTAGTTTAACAGCTGCAGATAATTGAGCTTCTGAGAAGTTAAAAATCAAGGTCCCTTTATTAGTATGTAGTAGAGCTGATACCAGTATTCATCTTTCTTTGACTTCCACTTCAATACCATTTCCATTATTCCATGTTGCTTCTTCAGCTTTGCTATTCTGCTTCTAGGTATAGCAGGTTCATTCAGGGTGTGAGTCTGAATATTCACAATGAATAGGTAGGTACACTTGTGCTCAAAGAAGTGATTTTACTTCTTTAAAAATCTGTTGAGGCACTTGGGTGGTTGGTTAAGCAAAGAACTCCTGGTTTCTGCTCAGGTGGTCATCTCAGGGTCATGAGATGGAGTTCCATGTCAGGCTCTGAGCTCAGCATGGAGTCTGCTTGCAATTCTCTCTCCTCCTGCCCTTCCCCTTCATGTTCTCTCTCCCTCTAAAATAAATACAATTTTTAAAAAATTCACTTCTATTCTACTTCTGTTTAGAAGTAGACTGCAGATTATCACCATTCTTGATTATTACGAGGCCTGTTATTTCCCTCAGGGAGGAAGGAGGGTTACTATCTGCATGTTTTGGAACAAGGGAGGCAGCACTTTTCAGACATTACTTCCTATACAGACCAGAGTCAGGCCCTTTTATAACTAGGTGTTCAAATAATCTCTTGTCCTTGGCCTGACCTCACCAGAGATGGGTTGGGTACACTGGCTTTCATCAAGATCAGATGCACCAGAGAGCTACTTATAAACATTTTGATTGAATTCTTACCACAAAGACTTTGGTATAGATTTCACCCTGGGTTTTAGCTACTAGGACAATTTCTGATCCTAATCAAAACATTGCAGAAACCAAAAAGAATCTAAACATATATTAGCCGTCTTCTTTGGATTTGTTTCCATTAAGAGCTCAAAAATACTGGGTCAAAAAAAAAAATGATCCAAACCAAAGTCCTACATCAGGGGCACAAACTCAAATGCCTATCACATGCCAGGCAAATAAAGCAAAGCCTACTGCAAGAAAATGAGTAATGGAGTCTGTAATAAACTACTGTAACTTAACAGTTGCTTCTCAGCTCCAATCACCAGTTACTTTGTGGGAATGTGAGTTAAAAGTTAACAGGTCCCCCCACCCCTTTTAAACTAGAAATCTGCATTTTTAAAATGTGAAATCTGGTTTTAAATAGCTACTAATTCAAACTTGCAAGGCTGTTGCAAGCCATGGGTAGCCAGCCAGAATTGGACTTTTCTTTACCAAGTAGGTCTCCTGTGCCATATGAGAGAAGGATAGCAAATGTGCCACTTTCAGTTCAAATGTGGTATAAGATTGATGCTGCTTCTCAGTGAATCTGGATAGTGCTGGAGAAGTGGACAAACTCCATGAGTTAATAGGAAGGCGCCTTAGCTAGGGACTTGGGGGTATCTGTTTCATGAGGTAACTGGATAAATGTGTCCCACTTTGGGAAGTATTTGGTGGAGGATAAAGATCCCCTTTGCTAGGTATCTGGGCAAAAATATCTTCTCTGGGGTGTCTGGGAAACATGTATACTCAAGTACGGGGAGGGAGCAATAATCTCGGGAAGTATCAGGAGTACAGTTACAAGAAAGTAAGAGGCTGGACAGTATTACTGGGAAGTACAAATAGCTGTACGAGTGTCAGTATGAGGGTAATCTCTTCAGTGCTGGGAGGGTGAAGGCAGTAACCAACTCCTCCGGCGCCAGCTTCGGGCGCTTCTTGCTCACCATTCCGCTGCGGGCGTCAACTCCAGCAACCTCCATCTTAACGCTTTCTGCGCTGGCGCCCTAGAGCCCCAGGTTCAAGCCTAGAGCAGAGAGAGCCCCGCCTCTGATCACGCCCCTCCCACCGCCACCCCCAGCCACGCCCCACGTCTCAGGCACCCGCCAACGGCCCCTCCCCGCTGCCCCTCCCCTCCGCTGTTTCCCCAAAGGATCCTGCAGCTGTTGGCCCGGCTCAGTACCTGAGTGTCCTCTGTGCTAGCCACTGGGGAACAGAGATGAAATACTATGACCCTGCCTTTGTGGATAGATCACACACAGGCTTATGAAGGAAGACAGAGAATTAAATTATAACTATGTAAAGTGCTCTGTGAAGGGGGATCAGGGTTGGTTGGGTCCTAAGGGCTGCCAGGAAGTTTCAGAACTCAGCAGGCCATGGAAAAGTCTGCAAGGGGAAACAGAAGTGCAAAGGCACACAGGGTAGGAGTGCACAGGGTGGGGTGCGGTTGGAACTAGGGGACTAGGGGTAAGTGCTTTAGAATAGCCACAGGGGGGAAAAAAAAGAATAGCCACAGGATGGTGAGGGGATTTATGCACTGTCTTGAGGGTCTTAGAACTTCAGCATGAAGGCTATGATAAGATAACCACCCAGTAGCTTTAACAGGAGGAAGATTAACCAGAGTATGTGAAGAGGGCAGCGGCAGAACAGAGGCAGGTGATTATCACAGTCAAGAGAAACTAAAAGCCACTATTCCAGTTGTGGTACTGTGAACTGAGGTTAAGAATGGATTCAACAGGTAGGTTTGAGGCAGAAATGACTGAGGGCAAATGATTTGGGAAAGAAGGAGGAAGTTTAAAAATAACTGGGGAACTGAATTGCAAGGATTTATTTAGCAAGTAAATGGAAATGAGAAACTGGAAGGCTGGAGTTAATCCCCTGTCCTTGCTCTCACTCAGCCCCCACCCTGCAAGGGCTAAGAAATTAAGTAAGCACTTTTCGTGTGTCAGCTTCTCTGATTCCCATGCCAGGAGGCCTCACTTTTGTCTTGTTTTCTCCAATATCAGGGGTGATTTTCTACTCCAGCTTTCCTTCCTTGAATTTTCCCAAATGAAAGGCCAATTTCTACTCCTAGGCCTACTTCTCTGTCCTGTACATGGCAGCCCTCTACCAATCCCCAGAGGCACACTTTTCCCCAGGAGACCCTTACTTTGTCCTCACAACATGGACTAGTTTTCACTGGCACATGACATCTCTTCTCGATCTACTCTTCTTGATCTTCTGCAGGAAGCCGATACTTTGGGTCCCATGACTCTGTTAACTGGGGTGGTGGATTCCAGTCAAGGCCAAGATACTAGTCCATTACCTGTTTTACTGCTTGGTGCTTATCCAGAGCTGCTTTAGGTTCCATCATTTGTCAGGAGGAGGAGGCAGTGAAGGGCCAGATACAAAATCTACCATTTTACAGGGTTATACAAGATAGTCATTTCTACAACTTTCCACACCTTAACAGAATTACCAGACCCCAGAGGCTGCTATAAGAGAATTTATTAGAGGCTAGCCAAAAATGTTCTGTAACAATGGCACATACAATAATTAACAACAGCAGAGATGCTTGGTTTGTTGTTTCATGTAATGGCCAGTACAGCTGTGGACAACACAGAGTCCTCAGGAGGTCCAGGAGGCTGCTAATAAGGATATCCAAGAACCACGTCACATCTCTGATCAAGGGCCTGAGAAGTCCATATGACCTCCTGAAAGAGTTTGTCTCTGACTTCTCAGAGAATGTTGAAGCCTCCTCCATCCAGCCTTGTAAAAGGGATGATAGATAGTCCAAGCTCCTTCTGTAGGGTTGAACATCTGTGAGGGGAACAGCAGCTGACCTAGATGAAGAGGGGTGAGGCCAAAGACTAGATTCTTTCTGCAAAGTGAAGGACAACCAGAAGGCAGGAGCCTTAGGTAAGGAGGACTGCTTCTAGACTGGTTTCTATAATTTTTGGCTTTGTTCAGAGCCTACCCAAGAAGAAAACACAACCCTCTCTCCTGGATCCTTCAACTAGCCCTCAGGTACATACACAAAGGAACAGCCTCTCATGTGTGAAAACATCATTGCTCCCCTTCTTACAGGAGTGAGGGAGGGGGCTCCTGGGCAGGGGGCCTCTGGTGCCTGGGTTCCAAAAGTATTCTGCTAAGGGCTCGAAGTACCATGTAAACCTCATTCTACTCATGATGTATAATTTGGGGGAAAGGATTAGCACAGCTCATTTCTAGAAGGTATCTTGTTCAGTCTCAAAGCCTTGTTTTCTTTTTCTTTTTTTTTTTTAAGATTTTATTTATTTATTCATGATAGACACAGAGAGGCAGAGACACAGGCAGAGGGAGAAGCAGGCTCCATGCAGGGAGCCCGATGTGGGACTCGATCCCAGGTCTCCAGGATCAGGCCCTGAGCTGAAGGCAGCACTAAACCGCTGAGCCACCTGGGCTGCCCTCAAAGCCTTGTTTTCATGGAGCTCCATAAAACTAGTGGATCCTGCTCCCAAGGTATGGTCTAAATTCTGTTCTGTATGTTCATGCCCTGGTCATACTCCCAATCCAGACTATAGGGCTCAGCAACAACTGTAGGCTCAACTGACTATTTAGCTAACTAGGTACATGCTCCAGGCTCTCTGTGTTCTTCTAATGGTTGATATGGATAAGTCTAACTGGATAATGTATGGCATGGAGAGGGGTAGAGATGGGGTGTGGGGTGAAGGGGTGTCTACCAAGAATGGCTAACACTCTCAGAGATGCCTGTCCCTCCCTTTATGGAAAACCTCCCTATGCAGTAGCCCCCACAGCCCAGCTCCTAGCACCACAGACCTACTGGTCAGGGATTTGTGACCCTTTCTATGAAAAGACATATTCTGATCACCCCAATTTTTCCTTAAATTTCCTTAAACTGAAGGAGTCAGCCCCTTGACTATGAGGACCCTAAGCTGGCTACACAGTAACTCTCACTGGCCCTAACTTGTGGAACTGATGCCATTTGGTTGGCACAGGAATCTAGGTGCTCAGCTCCCCTCTTCCATGGAACGAGACTCCGATTTGAGCTTCACAAACTCTCGAGCCACTTCGTCATTGCTCCTTTGAGATAGAATCCGGAGAATAGTCATGCCTGTCTCATCCATGTGGATCTTCCGGCCCAAGGGACACCAGCAAGCACAGCTGCCCTTGGCTGCTACATCCCTCAGAGGCATCACAGCCAGCCCCAAAACACGATCCTCACGGGCAAAGCAGTAATCCTTCACACATATTTGCAATTCATAGGCTTCTGGCCCTTCTTCATTTCCCAGGAGGCTGTGAGCACAGGGTAGGAGGAAGGGAGGAGGCCAGAGCTGAATGTGTTCAACTGAATTTACCCCATCTAACCCATCCCTTCTCTCCCCTCTCAAGTCTTACTTCCCAACTCACCCCCACCCCAGAGTGCTGCAGGTTCCCTACCCCATAACTCACAAGTGAAATGTCTCATTGTACTTGGGAGCCCAGTTGTTGCTTTTTGACTTGGTTGTGAACTTCCTCTTCTTTTCACTTTGGTGTGGGCCAACCATGGTCACTTCCACAAAGGGCCGGAACATACCCGCTGTCTGCCACTTGAGGTCATTGGCAGCTACCACTGCCCAAACAAGGGAAGTCTGTCAGAGATCCCACCAAGTGTTCCCAGTTCTGGAGCCCCCAGGTGGCATTCCAAGGGGGCTAAGTTGGAGGACTGGGATAAAGCAGACTCTGCCTTCAACTGTTAAGGCCACTGCATAAGAAAAGATCTGAGACCTCTAAGTCTGTGCCACTCACCTTTCACTGTGACCTTGTGCTCCCCAGTTCCAGGATGTGTAAACAAGTCCACCTGAATAGAGACTTCTCCCACAGGATCATCCACACCAGATCCTGAAGGACAGATGGACAGTTGTTCCTATACTGGAGAACTCTAAAACTTCAGGCCTATTATCCCAGGTAAAACTGAGGAGTTATAAGGCTACCACCTTATTCCCTAAAGCCTAAAGCAATCACTCAAAGTAGCCATGGGGAAGTAAGCAATGGGAGAAGGGAAAGCAAGGGGATAAAGAATGAGGCTGTGTATTAAAATGCATTAGGCTGACAACATCTTAGGTGAAATGTTCCAAAAATGCACCAGGAATCTCTTAACATTCCCCAAACCTCTTTTATATCCTAGACTGAAGAATTTTTCATTGGAAGATACTGGAGAAGGATAGTATTGCCACCCTGTATCTTTGGAAATCATGTCCACCCCATGGTATCTCAAGGGAAAAATGTGGATCCCTTCTAGCCAAAGGCAGTATACTCTGCCACCTATCCTCAGATTCCAGAAGGCCTCCAGTTGGGAGGCTGCCTTGCTCAGACTATGTCCTATTCACACCTGGACCTCTCTACAAGCAACTTCCCAGTCCCAATCTCTGGCCAGTTTGTAGGCTCGCCTCAGCAGAGGCTTCAGTCTTTTTTGAGAAAATACCAATTCCATGCACCCCAGATAAAACTTCTTTGTCCTCTGGTATAGGAGCAGGGGAATCCTGAGGACAGAACTACTGTTAACCTAGTCTGAGACTGTATGAATACATCACTCATCTCTGAGACTTAGAATAGAGCTTCTGAACTTTGACACATGGCTCCCCTACTGTCAGCCTAAGCAGCTCATTCTAGTTCACAGGCAACAGTGTTAGCCTATGTTAAATTCACATGTGAAGGTGTACAACATACCCTTTTCCGGCCGAATGTCCTCATTAGCAGTAAACCTAATACCTTTCCCATCATGCACTGAGTGAGAACAGGCAAGTCAAGAGGTAGTAGCAGCAGCAGGACAGAGAAAGAAGAATCAGTTAGAGGTCTAAGGATTAACAGCCATTCAGCGCAGCTCTACATATATCCTGAGGGAGCACAGAGATGAGGTGGAGAAAGACAAAGTGCTGGGGTCAAAGCCTGAATGCTCCAATTTAGACTTCATAGGTCAAAGATCAATCAGATCATGGGGAAAACAGAAGAACATACAGAGAGAAGGTATTTGAGACCAGCAGGGCAGGAAAGAAAAACATAGGCTCTAATCTCCTTGGCTTTAAATGAAAGGGTAAAAAGCAATGTGTATAAAAGGTACACACATATACTCAGATCCTCACTGCAGTACCCACCCCTGCTCTTACTGCATATGTGTCCATTTCAGTCTTTCCTCATCTTTACATGTAGCTTAAAGCTCAGGATTTCTAAAGAGTTAAATCCTTTCTGGATTAACTCAGATCCTCCTCTGATGTTACAAGTCTTTCCACATACAGCTATGTAAATGATCCCCCCGACCCCTTGACCAAGGATTGTAACTCCTTGACCAAGGTTTGTAACTTCTTTACTCTCTCTTCTTCCCACCTAGACTTTAAATAAGAACAGATGTGGAAAATGGAGCAGTACTGCAGGTCCCTTGCATCTTTTCACCTTTCATCTACTCTAGTCTAACTGCCTAGATCCCTCTTCCCCGTCAGGTCAGCTCTGGATCCACAGCTCAGAAGGCCTAAGTCCTCTTACTCCCTCAATCAGATTCACTACTCCAGGTATCACACATGGGTTTCCCTGGAAGAAGAAATAACAGATGTGTCTGAATGTCTTTCCTGGGAGGGCCGTGCTCCAGGGCCAGGGGCAGAATTTCAGTCTAAATCAAATCTAGGGCAATGTGTTTTGTTATAGAGAGGCCTGCCTAGAGACAGGGAGGGGTTCTGAGAACTAGAAGTCACAGGGAGAAAACTAGCTGACTGGGTCCCTGTGCATTAGCATTACCCATGAGGCTGGAGCCTCAGCTATGCACAGAGGCCCATGATCCACATCCTCTCTTCAAATGCTCTCATAGTATGCCTCTTCTAGTCTTTTTTCTCATCCACACTAGACAATCTATAGTATTCTGCTTTCTCTCCCCAGGACAATTTCCAAAAAGATTTCCAAAGCTGAGTTTTCACGAGTGTCTCAACCACTCATTCTCAAGGCTTCCTGACAGGTACTTCCTAAAAGATAGGGTACACTCCTTGATAAACATGCACTAGCCAAGCAATGTCTGAGAAAAGAGTCTCAGGCACATTTCCTGGGTCCCTATGATATACCTGTCTGGTATGAGTATGCTGTGAGGGTGAGTACTGGGGTCCCTCAAGAAATCCTGGGGATCAGAGTTTGGCTCTCAGAAGAAGTAGCTGGATCCTCCCTAAAGGCTGGAAGATACTGACTCCCTAGAGGCAGAAATGTTGCAAGAAGCAGAGACAGGGACTCAAAGTCCTTAGGCCTTACCCTGGGCAGTCTGTGAGCGCACAAAGGTTTTGATGAGTGTATCTGTGGTCTGTGTGTAGAGAGACAGGGCATAGCGTAGAGACTGCAGATCTGAGCTCTTCTCCAGGAAGGTTTTCTTCAGCCCATTACCTCCTGCATGAAAGTATTGCTGAAAGACAAAAGAACACCTGCTACAGCCTCTTCCCCTTATAGAGAGGCAGCTTTCAACACCGTCCTCAGCGAAATCACACAGAAGCTCAATGAGGATGCCAAAAGAGGATGATGAGGACAATAAACCATAAACAACAAGATCTGAATGCCACGTAGAGTCAGAACCTCTCAGGTGAAGAGTATTACTTGAGTAGGAGCAGTAAGGGATGACCACACTCCTGGATGTGGTCTTTAAAGTATGGATCTACCCAGACAGGCAAAGATATGAAATAGAAGCATTTCAGGCAGAGAGAGTAGCCAGAAGTGCCCTTTTACCCCCCTGAACCCTTAGAGAATATTATACTTATGACATACCTCTCCCAAGTGACCTGCATCACAGTTCATGTGTATCTTCCTTATTACAGCCTTACCAAATTATAAGCTTCTTAAAGCTAGGAACTATATCTGATTCTCTTTGTATCCTTTATAGCACACAGTGCCATGTGCATATGTTGCCTGGTCGAATGAATGAATGGGTAGTAGGAAAAAAATAATTTAAAAACCCAAACAAATTTATACTAAAGTGGAAGAGGGAAATTTCTGCCAGATCTGGGGTATAAGGATATGAAAGATTAATTCCCAGTGGAAAATATTCAGGTATAGCAATGAGGAACTAAGTAAACTGAACTGTACTCAAAACCCAAGAAAAAGTGGTGCCCTGGGTCTGTGGTAAGTCATCTGAGACCATAAAGGAGGTAACTTTTGGTTGCTTCCAAGCAGCAATATGGACATAGCAAAGAAAGAAACAGACATAAAAATCACTTCCTTCTGGATGTTAGGGGGCAAAAGCCCATGGGACACCAGTCTGGCAGACTGGAATGCCAGCGCCAAGAGGTGGTGTTACTGAGGTAGGGTAGTATGACTGTCTGAAGAAGGGGGAGGTCTCCACCTTGATAGTGTCCAGAGCGAGGTCAAGGACTTCACACTGCTTTGGAGTGAGACTCCGCGTTTCCTCTCGCACCATGTGGTCCTGGAACCGCAGAGAAAGCAATAGCATCAGGACAGCTTGGGAAGTTCTTCCCCCACCCACCAGCTCACACTACATGTTCCTCTCATTCTCTTCCTCTTCTGTTTCCAAAGCTCACATTTCCTTTCTCCTGGCACCCTGTCACCCTCAGCCTCAGAAGGACTCCATACATCCATATACCTTGAGCTTAGAAAGATGGCTCAGTTCCTTGGCAGCAGTAAAGATCAGCTGGGTGCCCTGGACAGAGAGAGGATCAGTCGAAAGCAGAGGACTCCAAACTCAGGAAGTGTGGAGCAAGGTAGGGGAGACAGAAGGACAAAGTGGAAGGGGAGTGTCCTTACCGTCTGGTCAGTGAGTGGGGGCAGGACAATCATCCTTTCCATTGTGTTCATGACCACCCTCCAGAGCTCCTTCAGTACACGCTTCAGGACTGTCTTCTCACACACAGTGGCAAAGAGAGTGAGGCTGCAGGCCCATGTAACAGGTAAGACTGGGGTGAGGATTTGAGAGCCCTCCCTCCTTGACAGCTCCCCCATCTGATTGCCTCTGCCTTGCTTGTCCCACAGGACAGTTGAATGCTGTACTCACTTGCCATCCAGGAAGTCCATGAGAGGCCGGAGCACACTATCTGCATCCTGAGCCACAGAGGCCCTGGCGTTGGGGGATGCATTCCCTGGGCCTCGCACCTGGCCCAGGATGTCAGCCATTTGTCGAACACACTCATCAATCCGCACCTGAAAACTACACATGTGCCCGCAGTGCAGCCCTTCCCTGCCCAAACACACAAAGTCCTTGGAACAGCACCAGCTATTCAGGCCCATTCCAGCACACTCCTGGTACAGCTCCAGCAGGGACAGCCAACAGGAGGAAAGGGAAGATCCACACACCTGCACTGGATGGAGGGTGTGGAGCAGGGGCTTTGGGATTGGCCAGGGGCCATAGCTGGCTCTTATGACTGTGTGGGGACACTGACCTGTTTCCAAATACCATGCTGAGCTCATCCAGAACTGTATTCAGTTTCACCTGCAGCTCCTTCAAACTGTCTGCAGCTTCAGGGTCCAACTGTATCCAAAGAAGGTGTGCTTGGCTGAGCTGGTTTTTGTGTCTTTTGTTCCCCTCCTGTGCCACTAACTCCTCCCTCCAAGAGCCTTTACCCCAATGCCTACTTTGATCCTTCAGCTTAACCCAGCCTAGACCCTCAGCTAAATTGCTGATGAGTTCTACACCCAGGGAGCTCAGGAACAAAGGGAAAGTGCAGCAATTCCACACCCTGAGACCTACCTCCTTGCCTCCCATGGCCTCAAACATTTTCTCCAGCTGGACCCTCAGTTGCTGCATGTTGTTCATCAGGATGCAGGGCTTTGGGGACAAATGGAGCTGGTGAGTCTTGGCTCCTTTTAACATAGGACCTATCAAGCCTAGGATACCTCTCTCATACTACTTCAAAAGCCACAGGGAATTTATAATTCATATTTTATGCATCTGTTCCTAAGGACTGAGATCTAGAACCAGTTCAGACAGTTCTCCTTGAATGAAGAATAGAAGCAAATGTTTCTGTTTTTAAGCTGGGTGGTGGGCCTCAGGTGTTCATGGTATTATCCTTTATTTACTCTTTGAACGTCTTAAATTTTATTTTTTTATTAAAAAAGAAAGAAGGAAAGATTAAGCAAAGCTCTAGTTTAGTAGAAAATAAAGTACCAAATGGAGGCTCAGAGGAACTCCTAGTCAAGTTCTTATTTTGTGACATAATCTCAAAAGAAGCCCCATTGGGAATCAAGTCAGAAGCATCACCCCACCCTCAGCTTTGAGAAGAGACAGCCTCAAAAGCAAGGATTCAAATGTCTTTCACTTCTACCCAAACATCTTTAAGGCCGCAGGGCCTAACCCTTACCATTTTCTCCTTTGTGCAATAATCTGGGAAGCTCTTTGATAAGATGTTTGCATACTGCATCAACACCTTCCCGATGGTCTGGGGGAAAAAAGAAAAGGAAAGGAAGGAACCTTTAGCTCTCCCTACAGGGATCTTGCCTGAGGTCATACCTCTCATCCCAGAACAATAGGGAAGTAGAGGGGAATCTCACAGTAAAGGACAAAACCCCCTCTCAACCCCAGAACAGCACCAAGACAAACCCACCAGTCTGTCCCAGACACAAGCAAATGAGAATGCTTCATTCATTTGAAAGACTAGACTTCACCTGAAGGCCACCATGGAGAGGAATTGCGCTCAGGCCTATGATGAGGTTGTGAGCATGGTAAAGGCGAATGAAAGGGAGAAAGGAGGGTCATGGTCACCTTAGCAAATCTCCTCATGTAGTGGGCAAGGATGTTGGGGTCTGGGCACTCCAGCTTCCGGATGATCTCAAAGCTCTGGTTGAGCTGTGTGAAGACGTCCACCACAGAGCAGGAAAAGAGTGCATGCTCTGATGTCTGCTGGAACTAAGGAAGGCCAACAACAGGATCATCATCTTCAGCCACTACCCTTTCCCAAGTGTGTAGGGTACACAAGGGCTCTGCCCAGCAGGGATGACTCTTTGGCCCTCAAAAGTCCTCCTTATGAACTCAAAGGGAAGAAAATAAAGCCCCGGAACTTCTGCTGGCTGCTAATTGCTGGGAGACCTGGCCTGACCTCTGTGTAGTCCAAGCCTCCAACTTACCCCATCCTTCTTATCTCGTTCCAGAGCCCCACGCAGGAATTCCAGGGACACATCCTCATTTTCATCCAGCCATTGCAGGACAAACTGCTCAAACCACCTGCAGCCAGACAGGAGAAATGGGGGTAGGAGCCAGTGGCTAGCATATGCCATGTGTCTAATACCTCCCCCAGACTAGGGTCTTCTGGAAGGTAGGGCATGGTTTGATGCTTTTCTCTTTCTACAACAGAGCCCATAACTGGCAGTCTCAACACTGGCTTGCTAAACTGAATTGAAGATACAAGTCCTACCCACCCTGCCCTCTAAGATGGAGGGACCCCCCCCCCCTCTTCCCTGTGTAGTGCCCAAATGATGACTCACACTGGGTACTCAGGCACCTGCCCCTGCAGGGCAGGCAGATCTCGCACGTATTCATTGTGAAGCCACTTCACCTTGAAGTGCAGGTTCATGTAGTCAGCACTCTTACACAGCCGGTCCTTCTCATGCTCTAGTGATGGGGAATGAGGCTGGGTCAGGTTCCAGCAGTAGAGGCCATGGTTCCTGAGCTTTCCCAAAGCAGCAGATCTGGTCAGGCAGCTCTATCAGATATCTTAGAACAAGGGTGACTCCCAACCACTTCCTCACAACCATCTCCCCCTACCAGTACTCTGTTTTCCAAGAGCCTGGCCCAAATCTTCCTTCAGAAACTAAGCCAAACTCCCGGACAAGATCAGTAGTTTTCTTGCTCTAGCTTCTGGAAGTATCAACTGAGATACTGGCCTCTGGTGAAGAAGAAGAGAAAGGGATGTGGGTGCTAATGTTGATTAGTGGGGAGACTGCCAAGGACTAGAGAGGGATGGTGGTTTCCTAGGACTTCTCTAATCCTAGTAACCTCAAATAGGCTTAGATGCATCAATGAGGAGCTATACATGGCATGATGGGTCAATGACAACTACACAGAGACAGGAAAAACCAAAGTGGGTCCAAGCTGGTAGCAGTTAAGCAGCCAGAGTTTAAGAGCATCTTGAGGTAAACTGAAAGACCCCAGAACAAAGCTGAGTCACTTAGAAAATGAACTCTCTAAGAGGTATGCAAATAAAATAGTCAGTTTGGAAACCATGGAAACACAGCCAGATGAAAGGGCTATCATGCTGGAAAAAATGGGATGCTTATTATGTATGGACTTTTAAGGTCATGTAGTTGGATCTCGAGTCTTCTGGAGAATCCAGGGCAAACATCACCTCTGTCCAGAATCCCTGGAGCGCTGGCTACAACCACAAGTTCTCTGTACCCACCCCCTTTATAGATAAAACTTTAACTTGAATAATAAAAGCCAACTGTGTGCTTACATGTAACGGTAAAAGTAGACAAATGGGAAAGAGTACGGAGCAACAGAGAAATGGTCAGGGTCCTTGTGAACTCTACTGCTCAACTGTGATTTGCTATGGGTGATGCTCCTTCACATCAAGGCAGAAATCCAATCTGGGGCAGTTGGCCCTTGTGAATTAGTACAACAGACACTTGAGGAGGAGATGGGAGCTCAGGATTCAACCTCAAAAGGCTCCCAGTCCCAGGAAATTTCACCTCCTGGCATGGCAGGCAGCACCACCTCTGGGGACATCAGAGAGGCTTCTCAGGGCTTGCCCCTTCTCCTCCACCCCATACTCTACTATCCCTAAACCAGTCCATGAACCTGGAGATATAAAAAGGTACCATGAGGAGGGGTCTCCTTCCTTCCAGTTCAGTAACCCACTAGGAATGGAGGCAGTGTTGCTCTATCATCCCAAAACTCTCTAATTGCTTCCTTCTAGGGACTGTCAAGTTACTGTATTTATATAATTTTCTCTTTTTCTGTCAATCCTTTATCTGTACTCTGGTCCCAAAACCCAATTTCTCTATTAACTTCTGTGGTATAGAAAGTAACAGAAAAACCACTGAAACACTGGTCATACTTTATTCTAACAACTCCCATACAGTCATGCTCCAGTAAAGTTGCTTGAAGTTGCTGTTGTGGGGTAGTAGTACAGGGGTGGTTAATCTGTCAAAAGGGCCAAGGGCAATCAAGTCTCTAAACCTTCTCTTGGGGACACCTGGGTGGCTCAGCAGTAGAGCATCTGCTTTCTGCTCAGGGCATGATCCCAGAGTCCTGGAATTGAGTCCTGATCCCTGAGATCGAGTCCTGCATCGGGTTCCCTGCAGGGAGCCTGCTTTTCCCTCTGCCTATGTGTCTGCCTCTCTGTGTGTCTCTCATGAATAAATAAATAAAATCTTAAAAACAAAACAAAACAAAAAAAAAACCAACCACCTTCTCCTGCCCCTGATTTCCACATTCTTCCTTCTATGCATCTTTGATCTTTGAAGAGTTCTTTCAACCTCAAGATTTCAATTATCCAGCTTCCTGATATCTCCCCCAAATCTCTCTTTGGTTCTGGTACTATTTGTCTAAGGCTTTGATGGAACATCTCACTTTGCCAGAATTTAACTCTAGTCCCCATTTTTCGCCATTTAACATCTCCAGTTGAAGCTGAACAGAGTATACACACACTAATTATAGCCTCTTATTCAATGCTGAGCAACATCCTCAAGTCTTCTGTTTTGCTCTTTATTCCCATCCAATTAAATCACCAATCCCTATTGATTTCACCTCCAAAACTCTAGAATCTATCCATTTTTTTTTTTAAACAGTCACCTGCTTAGGTCTTGTTCCCACCATCTTTAATCTGTATTACTACAATAGTCACCAATCTGGATTTCCTCCTCCAAACCATTTTCCATACCATAGCCACAATGAGCGGCCTTTCCATGTTATACACTTGATACACATGGGATTGCCGTTCAGTGACTCCAAACTGCCTTAGGATGGAGTCTAAAAGCTTGAACATGGCTTACCACCTTCTTTATGATCTGGCTGTCCTACTTTTCTATCTTCATCTCCTATTTATCTCTTCCCCCTACATTGTAATGTGCCAGTCATACTAAACTACTGCTTCCAGTTCCTCAAGCATGACAGGTCTTTCTAGACCTCACATCTCTGAACATACTGTATCCTCTGCCTAAAATGTTCTGCGTCTCTCCTTCCCATAGCCTACAACCTCCCTTCCCTACTGGCCAAGTCCTACCATCCTTCAGGTTTCAGTTTGTATATCACTCCTCCAGGAAGCCTTCCCAGGTCCTCCTAGAAGCCATCCCAGGTGTGGATTACACTGTTCTCTCAGCACCCTACCCTTATTCCTTTTGTGACATTTATAATTTTGAACTAGAACTGCCAATTTATAAGTCTGTTGTCTAGACTGGTGTGTGAGCTTCTCAAAGGGCTGGGTCTATGCCTCATTCATCTCAATGGGGTTCCAGCAATTAGCACAGTGCCTGACATAAAGCAAAATATTCAATAAGCCCTTAAGTGAATGGGCTGAGGATCTGCTGCATGAAGAAACTTTGTTCTATATTTTAATTAGGATAGTGGTTATACAAGGGTGTATATTTGTCAAACTCATCAAATTATACTCAGGGTATTTTCATTTTATGTATGTATATTATACCTCAATAAAACGGACTTAAAAAAATTGGGCGAATGATAGCATTTTCACAGTTGGAGTCAACACTATCCTTTTATCATCCCAGTCTCCAAACTTTTCCTATTCTCTTGCTCTCCACTTTCTGACAATCATGAAGTCTTGTTACAACTTCCAGTGGCTATCAAAACCCATTCTTCCCTTTCCAATTCTCTGCTCTAACCCCAACCCCATCCCCTCAGCCCTAAATTACTACAGTATCATTTGCAGTCCCTGTTTCTAATCTCTCCATGTTCCAGGTGCCCCATTTTCCACTGAGGTGAAATCTTATAAAAATGTTACTGTGTAGGGTGCTTGGGTGGCTCAGTCAGTTAAGTGTCTGCCTCTTGGTTTTAGCTCAGGTCATAATCTCAGGGTCATGAGATTGAGCCCTGTATGGGGCTCTGCACTGGGAATAGAAACTGCTTAAAATTCTTTTTCTGCCTCTCATGAATAAATAAATAAAATCTTAAAAAAAGAGGGGGAGAAAGAGAATTTTTTTTTTAAGATTTTACTTATTTATTCATGAGAGCCAGAGAGAGAGAGAGAGAGAGAGAGAGGCAAAGACATAGGCAGAGGGAGAAGCAGGCTCCTCGCAGGGAGCCCAATGTGGAACTTGATCTCCGGATCGGGATCATGCCTTGAGCCAAAGGCAGATGCTCAACCACCCAGTGGCTCACCCAGTGTGAGCCACCCAGGCATCCCTCTCCCTCTGCTCCTCCCCACCCACACATGCTCTGTCTCAAAAACAAAAAAATGCTATTTGGCTCACACTGCATCTTTGCTCATGAGCCTATGGGGTTTCTTACTGTCTTTAGTAAGATGTATTCAGTGCCAAGTAAATGCCAAGCAATATGCTAAGTATGTTACATGTTACTTCGTCAGCTCAATGAAACAGATTTTATGGATAAAAAATGCAAGTTCACAAAAATTGGTCTAAGAACATATTGCTGATTAGGTGGTGAAAGTGAGATTTGAAACCAGGTCAACATTATTTCTTTTAAAGCAGCTTTCAATCCTTTTGTGTTTGTTGTAAACATTAGCAGAACTCCCCCTTCAAAAGAAATCTCACCTAGAACTCCATGTAAGATCGATAAAAGCAGAACTGACTTAACTAGCACCAGGTAAAAGGCCTGAAGCCTAGTCGCCCTCTCTTCTCTCACCCAGGTATTCCCTTTTCACTTAGCTCCTAAGATACCTGTTTGAAAACCCCTGCCCTACCTCATACTATCTGTCTTGTGAAATTGATTCACTTTTCAGGGGTATTTATCTCCCCCCACCCCCAAAAAAGAAAAACCCCACCAGAGCTGAGCTTCTTTAAGAACTGGGACCATGCTACCACTATACTCCCGCTCCCCCTTTTAGGCTTGCTGAGTGCTACTTGCAGAGGGGACAAGTGACTTCTTCACTGACCTGAAAGGCTAAGGCCTGGGCTACAGCCACAAGCTTGAACCGGTGTGGGCAAGAGGGAGCCACTGCTCTGGGGCAGAGTTACAGAAGATGCATGTCCAGTCTCTGGCTGTCTCAAACTTAACACAGATCTTCAAGGTTTCTTTTGACCTCAAAACTTACTGCTCCTAAACCTCAGAAGTTTAAGTCTGAGGGTTACCCATTTTCCCTGCCACTCCACCAACATAAAAAATCCTAACTCTGCTTTGTCCTTGCCTCAGACTGCTCCCCTTCCTTTTAGGTCCACTTGCACAGATTGAGGAGACAGACTAACATATAAAGACAACGAGAATGGCAACTAAATAAGTGAACACAGAAGGGTACAAATGGGAAGACTGGATACAGGCAGACCATGGTATCTTTGTGAACCAAAGTGGGAAATGAATAAAAGAATAAGCTGAATGAACAAGATGAATAATAATTTTTCCATGATTCTGCTTTTTTTTTAAATTTTTATTTATTTATGATAGTCACACACACACACACACACACAGAGAGAGAGAGACAGAGAGACAGAGAGGCAGAGACATAGGCAGAGGGAGAAGCAGGCTCCATGCACCGGGAGCCTGACGTGGGATTCGATCCCGGGTCTCCAGGATCGTGCCCTGGGCCAAAGGCAGGCGCCAAACCGCTGCGCCACCCAGGGATCCCCATGATTCTGCTTTATATGAGAAGAGAGGGAAGGAGTATCTTTCTGGCTCCGTCATACCAATCTAGAACAGCTTTTAAGGAAAGCCAGGCCAGGCAGTCTCTAATAAGAGAAAATAATCTTATCTGTGTATTTTAGGTTCTATGATTCTTTAAGACTATAAGGATAAACCTCATAAGATGTTTCATAATCCAGGGAGGGGTCCACTTGAGAATACCCAGCATAGGAAGAGTTGATCTTTGGGCTGGCGAAAGTCTTAAACAGGCACTTGCTCTAAAGCTGGAAGGGAAAATCCATATCTACACAGCCATTTCTATTATTAATTTAGCTGAACCTCTGCCTACCTAAGGATTCCTAAGGGGTAGGCCTGAAATTTCTCTTTTCTCACCATACCATGCACCCAGAGTTTGTAATTGTCTGGGAGAGTAAAGCGATAGAAAACAAGGTGCTTGGGCTGGAGGCCTACAGCCCATTGCCTTGGGCACACCCTTACCCTCCAGTGCATATTTCATGTCTTGGGCAAAGAGCTGCCACATCACTTCTGCGCTGACTTTTCCCACATTCAATTCCTGAGGAAACCTGGATGATGGAAGAAGCCACAGTCAGAGAAAAAAGTAAGAACTATTTGATTTGACTGATTCCAAAGCTAATGTACCTAATCTCATAGAGGTCAAGTTGAAGAGAGGAGAAGCCTGGGAAACAGGACTAGGCTCAATCTGGAGAAAAGGGACCTAGGAGCCAGTGGAAGGACAAGTGGGGGCAAAGGATTTCCTCAGGCAAGTTGGGCCCAGGGAAGAGGATGCCCAGGAAGCAGGGATTTGAGGCCCAGAGGAGGAGTTGAGGCTAGAAGGCAGGCCCAGGGTAAAGAAGATGGACGAGAAAGTGCAAGGACGTGGGCATCAGAAAGCCCACTTTATTCACAGTGGACAGACACATACACACATGGTCTCTGGATCCCCTGGGACTCCTATGGTAGCCATTCCCAGGGGCCTCTCACTCCAGGGAGGCTGGCTCAGTCTGGGGGGGGGGGGCATTACATTTCCACACCTGTCTCCAGAAACAGTTACTCAAACAGATACAAGGACAGAGGGACAGATGGACGTACAGGAGGAAGAGGTGGCACTGCAAACACACAGAGATAGGAAAGAAAGAGGCTGTTAGACAGATCAACAAGCCAACCACCAACCACATAGGGCCAAGTGGGTTGATACGCACTGGTTCAGAACGAGTGTGTAGGAATTCTTATCTTCCTCTATGATTGACACAATGAGCGTGATGAGTTTGGGCCAAAAATCCAGGTTCCGAATGCTGGGTCCTTGTTCCTCTGGAGGTAGCTCCTGTTTCTTGTTCCAAAGGAGATAGTGAGAGTCAGAGTAGAATGCGGAGAATGTCTCCAACCTTCCTCTTTCTCATCCCTTACCCATACCCCTTCCTCTAGAATCAGGTACCATTCTTCTCCTAGGGCCCATCTTCCTCAAAACTGCCTATGTTCTGTCAGAGGGGTGACTGTTGGGAGGTCCTCATACACAGAGAGTCCATCCAAGAGAACTTCTCTCCCCAGCTCCAGGGGAGATATGATATGATAAACTTCATCAGTCTAGGAGACATAAGAATGCCTGTCCCCCTTCCTCATTCTCTCAGTAGCTGTGAGTATAGTGACTCCTCAGCCAAAGTAAGTTGCCCCTCCAACCTCACTAAATAGGTCTAGTTCTGTGTGACCCCTACTGGCAGTCTCCTGTGACACCTCCCCTACATCATCACACACACACATATATATACATCTCATCTTCAAGTTCTACAGGAGCTACTGCACAGAGCTAGCATGCAACTGGTCCAACCTTCAGTGGGTTTAGAACTTCCCTTAACCTCATGAATGCTATTAAGAGGAAGAACTATATCTAGGAAGGTATTTGCCTAGTTGGATAAGAAAAGGTCTTGAGGAGCCAAGAATATTCAATGGGGACAGGATAGTTTCTTCAATAAATGGTGCTGGGATAACCGGATATTCACATGCAAAAGAATGAACCTGGACCCCTATCTTATATCACTCACAAAAATTAACACCAAATGGATTAGGGACTTAAATACAAGACTTGAAATCATAAAACTCCCAGAAGAAAACATTGGGGAAAAAGCTCCTTGACAATGGTCTTGGCAATGATTTTTTGGATATGACACCAAAAGTACAAACATCAAAAGCAAAAATCAACATTTGAAACTACACCAAACCAAAAAGTTTCTGTAGAGCAAAAAGAAACAATCAACAAAATGAAAAGGCAACCTACAGAATGGGAGAAAACATTTGCCAACCATATCTGGTAAGGGATGAATATCCAAAATATAATATCCAAAATATTAGCAGAAAAAAAAAGATTCTGATTTAAAAATAGGTAGAAAACTTGAATAGACATTTCTCCAAAGAAGACATACAAATGCCCAGCAAGGGGTACCTGGATGGCTCAGTCAAAGACCTGACTTTGGCTCAGGTCATGATCTCAGGGTTCTGGGAGGGAACCCTGCATTGGGCTTCCCACTCAGCAGGGAGTCTGTTGTCCTTATCCCTCTGCCCCTCCCCTCTTTGTCCACCCCCAACCCCCTCAAATAAACCAACCAACAAACAACAACAAATGCCCAGCAAATACATAAAGAAGTACTTAATATCACTAAACGTCAGGAAAATGCAAATAAAACCACAAAGAGAGGTCACCTCACACCTGTTAGAATAAATATTTTCAAAAAGGTAGGAGATAACAAATGCTGGCCAGGATATGGAGAAAAGGGAATCCTGGTGCACTCCTGGCAGAAATGTAAATTGGTAGAGCCACTATGGAAAACAGTACTGGAAGTTCCTCAAAAAATTAAAAAGAAAACTACCCTATGATTCAGCAATCCCCCTTCTAGGTATATATTTAAAGGAAATGAAATAACTATCTTAAAGAGATATTAGAACCTCCATGTTTATTGTAGCATTATTCACAAGAGCCAAGACATGGAAACAACCTAATTGTTCACCAGTAGATGAATGGATTAAAAAAATGTGGTATATAAATATAGCAGATTATTGCTCAGCCATAAAAAGAAGGAAAACCTGTCATGTGTAATAACATGATGGACCTTGAAGGCATTATGCTAAATTAAATAAGTCAGAAAGAGAGATAAATACTGTGTGATCTCATTTCGATGAAAAAATCTAAAAACCTCAAACCCATAGAAAGAGTGGAATGGTATTTGGCAGAAGATGAGGGGTAGGGAAATGATAAGATGCCGGTCAGTTCAGATGAGTAAGTTCTGGGGATCTACAGTATAGCATGGTTGACTACATCTAACAGTACTGTACTATATACTGGAAAAATGCTATAAGGGTAGAGCTTTAATGTTCTCACTGTAACAACCAATTATGATAATTATGTGAGGTGCAGACCTTACAGTGGTAAACCTCTCACAATATATACTTGTATCAAATCATTACATTGTACACCTTAAACTTACACAATGTTATGTGTCAATTATATCCCAGTAAAGATGGGGGAAGAAAAAAGACCTGGTTGGGTAGAGGTAAAGGAATACAGTGGTGAATCTCAGGAAAACTCTACATTCAGATCCTAGACAGGACAAGTAGGGGACACTGCACAGACACTGGAATGGACATTTATCTCTCACCAGGACAGAAGCAAAGTTGGAACCATCCAGAAGAAGAGGAATAGGACTTTTACATGGGATGTCATCACAGTTTCCACAGTCCTTAATAAGCCTGTATTACAAGGAAGTTACTAGAAACCAGGACAGCACCCAGAGAATGTGGATTCCGCCTGCTTAATATCACTTAAATACATCTCTTCAACTTTTTCTGCCACTATCAATCCTTATTATTTGATGGTCTCCTAATTGGTCTTTAATCTGCATTCCAGTCCTCTTCCACAGTTAGTAATCTTTCTGCAAGAAGAATCTCACAGTGTGACTCCTCTGCCTTCAATGACCTTCAGTCAAGGCCTTCAATAAGTTTAAACTCCACTCCTTGACACAAAAGGCCTTCAGGATATGACCTCTCTCACAACCCCACACCTTACCAATTCTCTTTCCTTATAGCCATTACCACCCCCCCCACCACCACTTACTTAGTGCTTATTAGGTGCCAGGCACCCTAAGAACTTTACATGCATTATTTCATGTAATCCTCCCAACAACTCCATTGGGTAGAAATTATCATCTTCATTTGACTGAAAAGGAGACTGAAGGCAGTGAGGTTATATGACTTGCCCAAGGTTGTGTAGCTATAAGTAGTAGTACCAAGATCTGATCCCAGATAGCTGAACTCTAAAGCCTGACACTGTAACTACTCTAATTAAGTTGCTTATATTTCTTCAAATTAACATACTCATTCACAATTCTGTGCCTCCAAATGTTCCACTACCTCTATCTGATATCCCTCTCTTCTCCAACCCCTTTCATTACCAACTCCTACTCATTCCTCAAAATTCAGGTTGAGGGATCCCTGGGTGGCGCAGCGGTTTGGTGCCTGCCTTTGGCCCAGGGCACGATCCTGGAGACCCGGGATCGAATCCCACATCGGGCTCCCGGTGCATGGAGCCTGCTTCTCCCTCTGCCTGTGTCTCTGCTCACCCCCCCCTCTCTCTGTGACTATCATAAATAAATAAAAATTAAAAAAAAATTCAGGTTGAGCTTTACCTTTTCTGAAAAGTTTTTCCTGATACCCCTGGTCTGGTTAGATGCCTCTCTTCTCGGTTCCCAGAACACCCTCCATGAACCTTTAGCAACTACAGTGAAATGCAGTAATAATAAATAAAAAACAATAAATCTAGTAATTTGTGTCCCTACCCCCCCAACAAACAATGAGCTTGCCAAAAAAGAGATGTGTCTTAACCAACTTTATATCCCTATGTGTTCAATTTGTTAAGGGAAGAGTTGGATAAATGAACCAATGACTGAAGGTGAGTAGAAGGGAAAAAAAGACACCAATGGTTAACTTCAGTGTAAATATACTGAGAAAAATGAGTAAAAAAGTTGGTAAAATTCAAAGGCTAAATAAAGTGCCTGAATGGTTTATAAGCTCTCTTTCAAAGTCCAGGTTCATCTCATTTAGGGAATAGAGACTATTCAGATAGATCCCTGCATAGTTGAAAAATCAAAGCTGACAACAGTGTCTTCAAAGCTGAGAACAGTGTCTTCCCCAACCATAGATGAGTGACAGGAGTCCAGAGTGTGGCAAGCTAAACAAAGGCCCCGGGAAAATCTCCCATGAATTTCAGAATAAATGGGATGTTTTACAAAACGTGAAAGGAGGAAGCCTTAAAGATAGGGCTGGCACAAAAAATACACTTGGGAACAGGAGAAGGCAGTGTGAATCAGATTTTAGTCTTTACTGAGGTGTTCCAAGGAAGTATTACAAACTGGATATATTCACCAAAGGGTAAATAAATGTCCAAGAGATTTAAGTTGTCCTCCCATCATTTGCTGTCCAAATCCTACTGCCTTTTAAGGTATATATCAAACGCCTGTGTTTTATGTAGCTTTTCCCAATACCTGATCAAAAGTGACTTCTTTCTTCTTGGAATTCCTTTAATTTTATTCTCCTTTCAAGGCACTTCAAACAGACTGCTTTCATTAGAGTGATATATAGGCTTATGGACTTATTGAAGGAGCACTATGCTTTCCTCAGACCTGATTCAATGCAATACATATTTATTGGACTAAAGGAAATCTGTTTTGCAAATGTATGGTCTGCAAGAATTATTAAGACAGAAACTCTAATCTAGTCCTAGACCCAAAAAGAAGTCCTGGCTTTGAAATGAGAAAATAAAAGATACTATTTGGAAGGATCTAGAGAAATAGACATAGTCACCAGGTACTAGGTTAGGATGTCAGCGTAAAACAGGTGAAGCAGCTCAGCCTCACAGAAGGATAGAGTCAGCCTTGATAGTCAGCTGATGAATATATCTCAGAAGACCATGCAGTGCAGAGAGAAGTGGTCAGAGGGAAAATAAAACATCCACAAGCAAGTAGAGAGACAGCTATGGATCTCAGAGGAAGGCAGCCTGGAACAAATTAAGCTTGGGGGAGAAAACAGATTTTGAGATGGACTGAGAATTCACCTACTCACCCCCTAAAACTGCTGAAATTTTGGTCACTTACATTAGCACCAAACTAAAACTTACTGTTGCCACTTCTGTTCAACTCAGTTATGTCACATCTTGTCCAATGGTGCTTTATCAATCCACAAATGCCTCACATGGTCTTGAAGGTCCTCACTCTACACTTTATTCACCCTCAAGAACATCAAGGACTTTGTCTTGAGCTCCCTTCCACCATAACCACAGTAAAGAAAAACCGAGGATCCAAGAGCCACTGACAGTCCCTCCTGATCTTGAACCTCTTACCAGCTGGTACTGGCGACTATACAAGTCATGGCAGTTGTTGAAGATATACTCATATGTGGAGTTCAAACAGGCCTTCACACAATCCTTTACCACTTGGCTGGCTCTTGGAGGGCTCTGCAGTTCTTGTACCTGCCAATTAATAAAAGAAATATGGGCCCATGGTCCTCCTCATCTGAGTGGGATCTCCTCCTAGAATTCCCCTCAAATCCCTCCTAGAATTCTCCTCTACTCCAGATCCCATCATCTCTCGATGGGTCCCTGGACCTTGCCCTAGGATGAAATTGCTAGGATATCTGATTGACAGAAACACCCAGCCCATCCCTGTTGATCCATGGTCTTCTCAGATGTAACCCAGGGGACAGGTGTATGGAAATGTGGACTTAGAGGTGATGAACACCATAGCCTCAGATTGTGCCCAATGATTCTTATTCTCCATGTTCCCATGCCCAGGTGCCCAGTCCACCATCATCTAGCCCAGTTTATCTCTTACCTTCATTCTGAAGAAAGTAATGCTGGTCAGCAAATCCACTGTTGACTTCAAGTCCTGAAGCCGCTCAGGGCTTCCAGCAGGGAAATTATTCTGTTGCAAATCAAGCACATTTAAGAAAGGAACAGAGAAATATGACAGCCTTCCTTGCCAAAAGCAATGACATAAAAAGCTTCCTTAACTGCTACCCACTGGGATTTTCCCCAGTTAAGCTGAACAAAAAAGCTGTAAAACTACAGGTCTTTCTCTATTTTCTACTGACACAGAGAGGCTCTTGCCAAAACAAGGGGTTAATAATCCCCAGCCCCGAAAACAACATTTACTACACCAGCCCTACTTCCCCTGCAATGTGTGAGCATTTGCACAAATCAACACAGAGACACATATACACTTATATACACACACTTTTCTTGGGTGAAGATTCTTATACCCAAAAGTTCAAAAGTTCTTCAAAAGTTACAATGTAACTGTATATTCCACAATATAAGTGGAGTCACACTATAGACCAGACTGAGATCAAGGATATATACTTTCTATGCAAGACACCCTATCTATTCCACATTCCAGAGCCAGAAAATGAAAATGGCAGAGCTCTGAGCAGATCTGCTTTGGATTGAGTTCCTTAGGACCTTCCCACCATGCCTCACTTCATTCCCCTTGGCATGAGTTTTAGGAGGAAGCTGCCAAGGAGAGCTGAAGGGAGATACTGAGCCACTCTCCTTTTTAAGGGTTGCTTTTTTAAACCTTTAAATGGCTACTTATATGCCAAATATAAGATACACAGTCAACTCTCCATTATTCATGCAAATGGAGGACACTGAAATTGCAGATAATTAAAACTCCACTTCTTTTTGACTTTGAGGTTATTTTTATACTTACTTTTTAATGTGGATATATTGCCTGTTCTGGAAATTCACTTTAAAGCAAGTAACAAAGCCATTCTAAGAAGATCTAACTTAGGAAGAATTGGGAAACTGCCTATTTTCCTGTCCTGCCCTGTCCCAGGTACCCACCCTCCTAGTAAATCTATTTCCTCTCTCCATTCTAGGAATGGACATGACCTCTGCTACAAATGACTTGCCCAAGCCAAGCTACTCTTTCTTTCCCCTTAGCCAAATTCTCATACCTCCCTTGAAAACTAAAGAGAATATGGGAAAATACAAAAAAGAAATATATGTATCTAATTTTTAAAGGGGCATTTCTGGAAGAGATTATCCTCAGGAGACTCCCTAATGAGAATGTCATCAGAAAGTTTGATAGAGGGACATCAGTGTGGTTGGAAAGCCAACTACCCATTAAAAAAAAAAATCAGCTACACCTGCTACTATTTACACACTGCATGCACGGTCCTTGAAGTTTGAAGAACCACAGACATCAGTGGCACTGGCCATTTATGTAGGTGTGATGACAGGGACCAATTTTTTTTGCCTTCAATCTTTATAGCCAAGATTGGACTAGAGTCTCCCTAGACAGAGCTTGATATTATCTGTTTTTCCAACTCACAGTCATGTCTTCACTCACCCTGTAGGTAGAGAGGTCAATCCTCAGTGAGTTGTGCAGCTGGTCCAGTAGTTTTACAAATCTCTCTTTCTGAGGGTAGGAAATAATAGGGAAGAGAGAAATAATCTGAGTTCCCTAGACTGTAGCAGAAACAAAACCATCTCTGGATGAGGAAACAACTCTCTATATAAGAGTCAACAGGAGATGACCCATGTACCTTCATCCTTTTGGGACTCTAACTTCTCTAAGTCAAATAAAAGGAAATTCAAAACATATTCTCCAACTTGTTCCTGAGTCTGTGGTCTCGTGACTTACCTTGAGGTAGCTCTTACCAGTTAAATAGCCACAGCCTACCAGTAATGGTAAGAGGAGGAATAGTGATTCATTTGGAAGGTGATCAAGCAGACCTGAGAGAGTATCTCTCTAAACCATGTTCCACATCATTTTCCTTAGTTTATACTTTTTTAATGTTAAAATAAGTTATACACACTTTTAATAGTTGATTTTTATAGAAAAGGTCTAATTAAATGTGGAATCACATGTTATATAGGCTGTTGGTATAGCACTCCTAGAATTCATATATTGATTATATTATAGATCATTAGGTCTTAAGTAAATATATATAATGGGATAAGATAATGGAATACATATTTGAGTAGGTTAGTCAATGATGTTAATTATCCATAGACTCTATCAAAATAAGAGAAGGTGGTTACTAACAAAACAGGGCTCAGAGACCCAGTAGACTTGGGAATATCAGTAATATTATTCCTAAAGAGGGTAATCTTTGTGGTGGGTCAAAGATATTTCATTCAGTTTATACTGAACTTATGGCAGGTGACATTCCAAATAAAGATTCAACTTCTCAAGTGACTTAAAACAAGGAAAGGACATATCCTAGATAGGGTAAATAGTCCAAACACTAGGAGATGGGACAGGCTCAGGAATATACTGGTATCTTCACTTAGACATCAGTTTTGAGTGGTATGAGTCAGAGTGAAACAAAATAATGTTAAGAAAGGTCCACTTGTGGACTTGCAGGACTAAGGACTTTAGTGACTCAACCAAATTCTTGGCCTAGAGAGGTTCTGCTTGAGCCCAGGTGGCGCTCCCATAACCACAGTGATGCTATTCCACTTTCTCTCATTTATCCATGTCTGAGGAGAATTCATTAGTAGGTCTACCTATCTATAATGAAATAAGGATAGTCTATCAGCATAGTCTACATACCCATAAGGAAACAAGTTAATCTAAGTGGCAGCTCTCTGAATTTTAGGCAAATCAAACAACTCTGTAATACCCACTGGGAAAAATCAAATTTTATTGACTGATAACAAATGAGTAAGTATATTTTTACATCACACTCACCCCAAAGTTGGAGGCTGCAAAGCGATCAGATGCAGAGACATTGGTAGAGGCAGTTGTATGGGCATAGTAGGCATTGATGTTGGCCAATAAGGTGCTCATCACTGCAGGCACACCAGGACACATGTACTTGGATGACAAACATGCAAAGTGCCTGAAAAATAGCATCATCAGCCTCAAAGACTCTTCAGGACTTGCAGCAAAAAACAAGTAATTAAAAGAGCTCACTGGTATGTATAAGCTTCTAATCACCTTGGCGTACAAGGATCTTCATAATTTATTCATTCAAATATATAATCAATGAATGCCTACCACGTGCCAGGCCCTGTGCTAGGTGCTAGAATCCAAATATGTGATAGCCTGGCAGAAAAAGCAAGTTTCAGAGTCAATAAGCCAAGGCATGCTATACAAAACCACTGTAAAAACATACAAGATGATCACCTCAATCAGAATGGCTGGGGGCTGAAAGGGATTAGAATAAGGCTTCTCAAAGAAGAGAGAGTTGAACCAAGTCTTAAAGGATTAGTAGTAAATAATCAAATGGAGAATGTGCAGGCAAAGGCAAACTGAATTGCAAAGACAAATATATTCATGAGGTTGATTCATTTGGGAAACCTTAGTTATGGCTACTGTTCAGGTGTTTGATAGAGAAAGACCAATAAATGAGAGAAGCAAGGCATAGAATAGTTAATAGAAGAGTTTATCCTCAATACCATGGTAAATTTTAATATGAGGCACAGTGTGATCAGATTAGTCTTTCAGAAAGGTCCCTTTGATGATAAATTGGAAAAGAAGGCTTGGAAAGAGATAAGACTAGGAAAGAAAGAGCAGTTGAAGAGTTACTGCAATCATTCAGAAAAGAAGCAATGAGGCACTAAATGGAACAGAGAAATGGTTAAAAATACAGACTCTAGAGCAAGAGTGGGTTTGAATCTCAGCTCTACCATTTACTCAGTGACTTTGGATAAATTATTTAAGCTTCTCTATGCCTGTTTTCCTACCTATAAAATGGGAAAGATAATGATACCCCTCATAGGGTTAATATGAGAATTAAATGAGTTAAAATTCATAAAGTGCTTAAGCCAGTGCCTGGGACATAAGTAAATGCACAAGGGAGCCTGTTATTACTACCATTATTATTGTGCTATAGCAACAGTGATAGATTAAAAACATTTTTAGGAAATAGAATCCAGGTTTTAGAGTTTGGATGTTGAGAGTTAAAGAAGTAGTAATTAATATTGAAAAGTTTAGGCTGATTCCTAAATTTGTGTGGACACCTGCACAGAAAATTGTTCCATTTATTAAAATAGGAAATAAAGGAAGATATCAAGTATTTGGTGGAAATGATGTTGATTTGAAATTTAGCCATACTGAGGAAGCAGCTGACAATGATCTGAAATTCAGGAAAGGGTGTGATCTGGAAAAAGAAATTGGGAGTCCCTAGCCCAGAAGTAGTGGTTAAGGTTATAGGTTTGGAGGAGATCATACAGGGAGAATAAACAGAGTAAGAATGGTAGTAAAGCCATTCTCAAACCTCATCCCTCACCATATTTCTTCTCTCCATCTATAATGAACTTGTAATTCCTTGAATATTCTATGGTTGGCTGTATCTAAGTACTCTAGCACATGCACTACCAGAAATGCTTTTCTACTTTTCTTATTCTTCAAGACTCAGCTCAAATATCAACTCTTTAATGGCTTCTCTTACATGCCTCCCCTAAAATTTTGATGCTCTCATAATATTCTGTTATTACTTCTATCATAGTACTTATCAAATTATATTGTAATTGTTTGTTTACTAGTCTCTCTTTCCTACTAGACTGAGTTCCCCAAGCACAGAGGCCCTATCTTATTCATCTTTGTGTTCTCAGCACCTAGCACAATGTATGACACATAGAAGGAACTTGATAAAAGTCTATAGAATAAATGAAGCACATCCAAGGCAATAGTTATCCTTTGCTTACCTGGGGCCGCTTCCTGAGCACAGCTCTAGTGGCAGCCTCAGCAATACACAAACAATACCTCTTTTCTCACAGTAGGCAAAAATTTCTGTCATAGGAGTCTTGGTCAACTCCAGATACAGCTGCTTTCCCTATAGTTTAGTGACCTCTGTGACATCTAGGCCAACCTATGAAAGCTTGTCTACAACACACATATACATAAGCACACATGTGGTACTTCCTCAGGCATGTGATGTTTGGGCAAGTTTGTCCTGGCATACTCTCTTATGTCCTCTGCCCCTCTTATCTCTGATCTGTGGGGGAGACAGATAAATACCTTCTACTTGAATTAATGATAAACATACTCCCTTTATACATATGTTTTCTTTGCCTTGGGGTATAGATTTGCCTCACCTCTGCTCAGGGAGGAAAGCAGCAAGTCACTGCATTCTATCCCACTAAGGACTTGTTCACTCTCTCAGTGTGCCTTCATTAGCCTCCCCAAAAGTTAGCCACCACTTCCCAAAGCCCCAGGAGAGTCTCACGTCATGGCCTGATATATGGACTCGATGCCATAGCGCATGGCAAATTCATCCACAATTTCTTGGGCAGTCTCATCAAAGTACACCTTCCATGCATCGTCTCCGCGAGCCTCAGGGATCAGGACTCCTCCACTACCCTGAATGTCTGTGAGGTAATGGAAAAGGTTCTGCAGGAGACAAAGCAAAGGGAAGAGTTAAATACATATCAAAAACAAAACCAAAATCTGGTGGTAAAGTCCAGGAGAATGTGAATAGAGTTCCAAAGAAATTCTTTCAAGTCATTGATAGTTCCTCCTGTGGACCCAATAGGCTGTTTTTATATTAGTGAAAGAAAACTAAGGCTAGGACTATTACTTGGGCTGTCCAGGGTAACACAGTGAATAAAAAACAGGACTCAGATCTTCACCCATCCAGCAATTTCATATACTGTCAAGGGCCCTTCCCAGCACAGTTTTCTGACACCCCATCTACCAACAGCTGGCTCACCTCATGGAGACACGTATACTGCACATGATATGGCGCTACTTTCTCCTCTCCCTTGATCTCCACACTGATTTGTAGTCGGATAGCCCCTGAGACAGCTGATTTATCTGTCCTCTTCTCTAGGAAGAAAAGAAGACCCGAGATTGACGCCAATGCAACTACAGATAGCACAGACAGCCCCCATCCTGGCTTCACCCAAACAAAAAGAGGCACTGATCTAAGGGTTCACCTAGTAGGGTGAACTTACTTCAGCAACCACATCGTCCACAAATACCCCAAATATTCCCCGTAGAAATTTTCTTATGCCATTAAGAGAATAGGGACCTAAAGACATTAGAGGTGAACATGAAAATTAAAAGGGCTTCTGAAATCTGAAGAATGTTCAGCCAGAGTAAGTTCCAGCCATTTCCACTCTTCTGTCCTCCATCTCTACTCATGATCAGTTCTCTGTTGGTAAGGCAGACTGTATAGAGGAATGCTGTAGGGACTAAAATCATCATGGTTTTAGTAGATAGGATTTTCCCTAGATTTTCCATTCATGCTGTCCCTTCTCAGCAACTTTCTCTGGTCCTCTTTCCTTACCCAAGTTGTACCAGACATCCATCTCGCCACTCAGTGTCCGAACCTCAATAATGGTTTGGCCAAGGAAATCATCGGACTCTCGCTTTAGCCGTTGCTTTACTCTTGACTTGATGTCATCATCCTCATCCCATACACGTACCTTAATGCGGTCAGAAGAGTTGTGGCACTCACTGTGAAAGAAACAGGCCGGCTCTGTTAGGGACCTTGATGGAGTTTTGGGAGGGAAATGGAAGTACTAGGAATGGGTGCTGCTTGATTGGTCCCTCTGCAGAGGAAGAGAGGAGTCAGGGAATAGTGGTACTAAAGTCGCAAGTGAGTCAAACTATCCTAGTCAGCCTGGGTGGCTCTACATACCATTATCCAGTCCTTATTTCCTTGACACAAGAAGAGTGAGGGGGGGCGAGTAATTAGGATCAATTCTGATTACCTCCACAGCTAGCTGTATTAATACAAACAACAGGTGGACAAATGCTATACAGCCCTAGGAAGCAATTGCTAGTTCCCTTCCCAGTCAAGGTGTTACTGGTCATGATACGTTGACCTGGTCATATCTGCTTAGGATTCCATCTAGCTCCTCCCATCTATCTAAGTAAGTGCTTGTGAACTTCAATCATTCTTTAAAACCCAGCTGAACTGTCATTTTTCTCTATGATGTTTGCTATGGAAAAGGAGTTTGGCCAGGTACACCCCCATGCTCTCCTTCCCTCTCAGGTGCTTACTGGGTGCTTACTGCCTCATTCAAGAGTTATACTGGATAGAATTTGCTGCTTCTTTCTCTGTGTTCTCATAATATCTTTGCACATTCCATTAAAATAATATAACTAATGGTCTACTGAAAAATGGACAAATCAACAAGGAGCTTCTTGAAGGCAGGAACTATCTTACACATTTTTTTTTAAGATTTAATTTATTTGAGAGAGAGAGTGCATGTAAGCAAGCACAAGCAGATGGAGGGGTAGGAGGAGAGAGAGCAGCAGATTCCTCACTGAGTAGGAAGGCAGACACAGGGCTCGATCCTAGGACCCCGGGATCATGCCTGAGCTGAAGGCAGATGTTTAACTGACTGAGTCACTCAGGTGCTCCACATCTTACATATTTTAGATACACAATATCATCTAGTGTCTTGTATGGAATAGAGGTTTAATACGGTGTTTGCTAACTGGATAAAAGCAGGCAAAAGTGACTACAGAGTCAATTCATTTAATCATAAAAATAATTCAAGCAGAAACCACTCAGATTCTCAAAGAAACTGTGTTTGCCCCCACCCCTGAACTGCTGCCTCTGGAGTGGAGGCCCATTGTACTAGGCCCCAATCCCTTTCCACATGAGTTCTCCAAGAAGCCAACAGAAGAAGGTCTCTACATAACCAGCCTGCTTAGACTAATTCAGACTCTAAGTCCTGGTCCTAGGCCTTGGTGTAACAAAGCATCTGGATTCTCCAAACATTAGTCCATGTCGTAGACTAGAGCGTGCCATTTTTCAACAACCATCCCTTAATGTCTTATGAACTAGTCTGTCATAAAGTGAAACAATGGAAAAGGAGCAGGAGTAAGAGCTGAGGCAGGAAAAAAGCAGAGCCTCTTAAAGGAAATGGAAACTTCTCCAGATCCCAGATTTCTATCTTTAAGACAGAACTACCCAGTTGTAGGACACAGACATTCCTTCCCAACTCCCCAGAAGAGTCTAATCCTTCCTAGGCAGGATGGCAAGGCTGAGAGATACACAATAGGTTAGCCCTTGGTTTTGTCATTGAGCAGAAGGAAAATCTTTCTAATACTAGAAAAAGCAGTATGGAGTACCCATGGGCCCCTTTAATAGCCCTAGTTAAGACAAGGCCTGGATAAACTAACCCTGATACAACAGTCCATTCAAAGAAACCCAGGAAATAAATGGTTGCTGTCAATTGAAGCCTGCAAGAAATGGGTTTTCTTCAGTGCCTCTGCCCCATCTCTCTTAGAATCCAAGCCAAGAAAAATAGGATTTAATGCTGCTTCTAAAATACATACAGTCCCAGGTAAGACAAAGCCCTCTGTGACTTACAAATGGAACTTCTCTTCCCAAACAGGATTCAGGTTCCCAAAAATAGTCTTGGTACGCTTCTTGGTTTTGCCCACTTGCACAGTCACATAAGGGTCACTGGATCCTGTCTTGTCCTTGGCTTGTAGGCCCTGGGCACACACCACTGCAACCCAAATAACAGAGGAGGAGGCTTTACAGTATGCTCTAGAAGTCAGAAGTCCTCCATAGCACCACTCATATGTTCTCCATCTTAGAGCAGTCTCTATCTGCTCCTTCAAACGAATGCCAATCTCATTCTTCCACAGCTACGCTTAGTCCTGGGCCACCAGTCTTTCTCTCAAAGGTAGGCCCAGAATCCCACCTCCTCATCAGAGCCCTAACTGACCACTTATCCCTGTCTTGATACGTACATGCTTCAGCCACACCCACTCAACTAGTAAGCACTAGTTTAACGATTTCCTGATCTCCTACCTACCTTCTTTCCTCCACCTTCAGCTATTGTAATATCAGTATATAACATCAGATTGTTACCAAATCCTTCATTGTCATTCATATTATTTGTAGATGCTACTCTTGTTCTCCCAATATCTAATGGCTCCAGGGTCTCGGAGAGGAAGGAGGCCCTCCCTCTTCCCTCAGTTCTATCTTCTTTCTCTCTAGCTCCTTGCTCCCTGAAACTCAGGATGCTTCTTCCCCAGGTCCCTCCCCACAACCTGGCTCTTCCTGTCCCCTCAAACTGTGGTCTACTCACCAGTGATGGTAATTTTGGCTGACCATTTGGAGGTGCCATCCAGTACACTCTGCTTCACTGTTTTCATCTGTTGCACATGGGCAACTTTGCTCACAGTAAAGACATCTCGGATGACCTCAAAGATCTCTGGCTTATTCCGCTCTCGGATCTTCATGCGGTCCTTCATCGCCATGATTATGTTCTGGGTCCGGTCCTCAGCTCCATGTTTAGAACTCTTTTCTGCAGCCCCTGAAGGATGGCCAGAGATGGAAAGTAAGTAACAACAGGCCACCGATCAGACCAAGGGTCAAGCTGAGGAATGAGGCCTGGGAGAGGTCACTGAAAAATGGAAAAAGCTTAAGAAGACTGGGATAGCTCTGGGAAAAGTTTTTTTTTAAGATTTATGTATTTATTCATGAGAGACACACAAAGAGAGGCAGAGACACAGGCAGAGGGAGAAGCAGGCTCCTAGCAGGGAGCCCGATGTGGGCCTCGATCCTGGATCCCAGGATCACGCTCTGAGCCGAAGGCAGACGCTCAACTGCTGAGCCACCCAGGCATTGAGTGCCTATTCTCCCAATTCCATGATAGCAGCACAAATTGTTTAATTGTTTAATTATTTAATTATTTAATCAGAGCCTTGGGAGTCTGGCACATTCTCCTCTGGGACCTCTCTATCTGATCCATTTGATGCTTCTGTTCCTGACACTGTCTTCTAAAAGCTGCCTCTATAAGCAAGGAAAAAATGCTGCCTTCTCCAGATCCTAGAGTCTGTACTTCAAGAAGTTCTTCTGTGAAGCCTGGAACCTCACAGAACTCTCTCTTCTCATTAGTTTTGGTTCCCAATTAATGCTCTAGTCATCTGGGCAATATGGCCACTGCAGTGTGTATAGTACTCAAGCAGATTCTCGTTCAACTGAATCCTAGAAGAGATCTAGTTCTGCCAATGGCTACAGAAACCACAAAATATATTTTCCTAAAGGAGTCAAGAGTGCAATAAGACCTATTATTTGGAAAGGAAATGCCCTTTGACTCAGGACCCTAGTTTCTTTGAAAAAAAAAAAAGAGCTTCATAATCAGGTAGACCAGAGTAATGACAGTTTAGCCATCCTAGCTCTTTGTTGCAAGACTATTTCAGAGAGGCCCTGCTGTCCCCTGCCCTACACCTCTCACCACAGGGACACTCACGCTGCAGGCAGTCGGCGTTGAGCAGGTCTTGGCACTTCTCATGGCACTTGACTCCACACTCGCTGCAGCGCATGCCCTGCCGGGCAATGCCCCAGAGCAGACCTTCACACTCATAGCAGTAGGTTGGGGTAGTGGCTGTCCAGACTTCAAAGTTGTGGGGTGTGGTGCACGAGATTGGGTAGATTAAAGCCTGCAGGGTTTTCTTATACACATGGGATTTCTGAAAGACACAGACCCCCATCACCCACCAACAAATTTAGGTCTCTGCTGAGAGATACCAGAACTGAGATCCTTGCAGGGCAATCAAGACCCTGGTTTCTCCTCTGGCAATAAAGGAGATACTCTACCCTGGCCCAGCCCATAGCCAAGACTGGAAGAAAAAAAACCCCTTCAATGTCATGTGCTCCTTGTCATCCAAGAGTGATCTGACTTGAATGCTATGTCTGAACCTTTTTTTCAGCATTCAAACTTCCTAGGGAAATAGGGTACTAGTCCCACCATAAAACCTTCAGTTCACTGGCCACATACTCCAATGTGAGACTTGGGCTTACCTCTGTTCCAGCCCCTTGCCTCTTCCAGTGTGGAAAACTCAGACCCAAAGCCATTTAGCTGTTTCATTAATGATGTGTGTCTAACACTCTAGAATTCTCAGTTAATATGGTTATAAAGATGATAACCAGTTTTTAGGCCAGTGGATTCATGAAAGCCCATGGGTCACTTACCAGCTCTTCATCCTTCAGAGAGGTACGTGTAGCCATTGCAGAAGTAATTCCTGCTTTCCGGGACTGGACCAATGACTGTGAGAGAAGACCTGTTGTCAGCCTCGGCTACTGCCAAGATCTGACAAAATCCTAGGAAGCGAGTTTCAGTGACCAAATGACTACTTGACTTACTACCTTCTCTCTAATTTTACTGTTCACAGGGACTGTCCATGGGTTATAAGCAACAAGAGTCTCAAGTTAAGATCCAAAACACAAGACCCTTGGGGACTGTTCTAACAATGTTAGAATGGCACTTCTCGTAGGGTACTTATCATCCAAAGAGTTTCCCTTTCCTTCCCTATTGGTTGGTTTCCTACGCCTCATTTATAGGAAGGCAACAGAAAATGACAAGTTTAGAATTAGAGCAGAAAATAGGTCATTAAGAACAGAATAAATTATGTCAGAATCATACTTAGAACCATCACTGAGAATGAATCCATGCTATCCTTTATCCCTGGGTACCACCCCACACCCACACAATCCCAGATGGTTACAGAGGCCAACAGCTCAAATGAGTAGGACACTTGGAAAGTGAAAGGGGCAATATAAACCTTAGTCAATCAAGGCAGGGGATTAAGTCTGAGAGCTGGGACTGCTTTGCTAGCCAAGCTCTTGTGTAGAGGAACCTAATATATCTGCTAAGCCCAAGCTTTAGGGACAATCCCTGGAAAGGCACATGGTTTCCCTAAGGCAGTAGACATTGGGCAGACAGGAGGTATAGTATCAGCCGAAGCAGGAGAAACAGTTGGGAGGGACCCAGGTGGTTTGAAATGTGGATTCTTACAGAGGATAGAAAGGGACTCTGGAGACACTCACCATAGCCTGTGCAGAGGACAGCAGAGAAAGGAACAACACAATGTTAAAGCCACCACCAAGAGCATGAAAACATTTGCAGAGGCAACTGAAAGGTTCTTCTCTGTAGTCTAATCGATGTAGGGAATAACATCCCAATCCCCTCGGCCTCTATTCACTAAAAATTATCTTCAACCCGGTCAGCTGTCCAGGGCCTAGAGCTTCCACTACAAGGAAGAGTTATGCCAAAAAGTGAAATATAGGCAAGGTTAAAAGATGGAGTATGGGCAGGAAATGACTAAGTCACTGTTATCCAACTAGTTAAGCAAAGAGGGGCTGGTGTACAAGAGACAGTGGAGAGGGCAGAGGTTGAGAAAAAGTAGGAAGAGAAGAAAAAGGAGATGGAAGATAATGAGAGAAAGTAATAAAGAGATGACTTCAGAACTTATTTTCATCAACCAGCTTGATGGTAGGTAAGAGGAATAAGAAGGGGGAAAAAGAGAAAGGAGAAGATACACAAGCAGTAGGAAAGAAAGGAAGAAGAAAAAAAAAAAACAAGACAAAATGGCAGAGGATAATTCCATTCAGCCAACTAAGGATAGAGAAACTGGGTGGGAAAAAAAGAACAAGGAATAGAGGAGAAATGGGAAAAGCAATAGGTTAAAAAAAATAGACTGAATTGAGGGGAGAAGCAGGAACAGAAAATGGTAATAAGAAAGGAGGTTCAAGTCTTACTGAAATTCTAGCTTTAGAGCTCTAGGACTCTGGGAAAGCCTGGGCCTCACTCTACCTTCCTACTTCATAGGAAGGTAGTAGGTACTTCATACCTACTAGGCTATGGAAAATTCTTTGAGTTGATCCTGCCTCAGGAGGCATGACCCAAGATGGGATCTTCCAGTCATTCTGGAGGTCCTGAGATCAGCTTTAACTTCTAAGTTTGTTTCAATTCAATTCCACAATTTTTTTTATCATTACCTCTCAGTGTCAGACACTAAGTTAAGTACTAGAGACACAGAAATACTCTAGAAAAATCTATCTTAGGAGGATACTGTCACTTGACCTCCAAGGAGTAGCATCAGTCATGCTCATTATACACTAAACTCATGATTTAGGTCAGGGCTAGAGGCAGTTTCCATTCCACATCATTGAAGAAGGTTGTAGAGAAACCTAGAAGAACAAGATACCTAAAAGACAACTTTAGAGCCCAGCTTTAAGGGCCCAAGTTACAGTTCCAGGTAGGAACTTTAGCTAATGAGGAATCCAGGGCTCTAATGAGGGAGTAAGGTAGAACAGGTCCAACTAAGGTCTTATCACTAAGTCTCAGTAAAGCTTTAGATGATAGATCTTCAGACCAATACTTGTCACTAAATGAACCACTACTAGTCCTGATAATATGCCAAGGCCCAATGGGGGATACCTCAAGCCTACAGTGTAAGTCTGCAAAGAGTCACTCACCAGATCACTGACAAGTGGCAGTGGTTTCTTTCTGCGTAGATCTGGCATGCTGTCAATGCCATAGAGCCCTCCAGCAGGCCTGAGGAGAGAAGAAAATATGTCAGGAACTCCAGACCTATCTTGATACTGGCAGGTTCAGTGTTCTATTCTCCTTGCTCACCTTCTCCTCAGAGGAAGATGAACTGATTCCCACCATGTGTCTCTGAGAGGGGTGAGGAAGACACAAAGTGAAAGAAATAAAGCCATGAAATGATAGGCAATGGAATCTGCTCTCAGGGGGCCCTCTCTAAGTCTCCTATAGTTTTAGACACAAATTGAGAGCTCTTTTATCCCATATTAACACTTGCAAGGTACCTCTGTTTATTTGAAGGCCCTTGTGCTCCATAATGCAAGGAAGGAATTGGTAGATAAGAGGGTCCCTCCCTAAACTCAGGCCGAGCTCATAGGAATGGCTCTACAGAAGAGCTGCTTTGTGACCAAGACTGCTAATGACATGTAAGAGGTGACCTTCTCCATCCTGAGTAAAAGGGTCCCCAGTTCTGTCCATCCATGCCTCCTGAAGAAAAAGGAGGGTTTCCATGGAAAGAGGAGCCTGCATAACCAAGTAGAGGCAGTGATAGTGGGATAGAAGACTTCTAAAAGGCCACTTAGGAAAAAAAAAAAGACCATTCAAGAAGGAAATAACAAAAGGATTCTGAAAGTCTGGCCCTAGCCCTATGGATACATCAACAGGGACCAGAAAGAAAAAATTACAGCTGGAGCACTTGGGTATTTTTAAAACTTTTTACTTTTTCTACGCTTATTAATTTTGTCATTCTTTGCCATTTCTTCCATAACTATATGCAATAAAAATACAGAGAATGTCCCAGAACCCCATTCTCACAATGAGATAACCTGGAGTTTATCCTACTCTTCTACTAATTCACTACATATTCTCTGCCAAAATTACTTCCTCTCTTTGGGTCTTGATGCCAATTCTACAAAAGGGACGAACTACAAAATTTCTCCAACCTCTTAGAAGCGGTCATTCTGAGCCTCAATGAAAAGAACTCATGTACTTGGCTTTAATGAAATCAGAGAGACAGGGAAGGTGGTAAGATAGTTGGGTGGTACAGCATAACTGGTCTGAAAAGAGACATGTTGCAGGAGAATGAGTAGGTACTGCCAGCTGGCTATGCAGGCAAAGAACAGAGTCACAGATTAAATCAAGGCCAAAAGTTTTAACAGGTAACCTGGTATGTTGATTTCTAGTAAAATAGCCTCCTAAACACAGGAAATGATCTTTGCTTTCAATGAGACTACCAGACCTAGGGAAGTTCTAAACCTGTGGCAGCTTCCAAGGACTGAGCTAAAGGAAAGGAAAGATAACAACAGGGAGGCTTTAGAGAATCATTGCAGGGCTCCATTTAAAAATAGCTTAAATAATAAAAATAAAAATAGCTATGTTCCATTGTTATGTATATATTTTACAATCATTAGGGGAAAAAAGCTAATGTTCTAAAGAAGGGCTGTAGAAAAAACAAGTGGTATCACAAGTTTGTGGCTAATTCTAAAAACTATAATATGTACCACTTAAGGTTTTTGCAACATAAATGAGATTCAGACAACAGAAAAAAGGATAGTTCATTCACATAACCAACTCTTGATTTTAAAAAGACAAATCACAAGGAAAAGGAGCATATAAACATAGAGGGGATAACTTTATGATCTGATTTTATTTCTTCCCTGGGAGAGGAGGCATCCACTGGGAACTTTCATGTCAGAAGGCCTTTACGAGACAAGGAGAGAAGGAAGATCCTGAGAAATAATGGGCAGTTTATGTGCCAGGGAGGGGTGGGGGAAGCATTTAATCTTTTTCCTCTCTTAAGAACAGTCGTTATAGACAGCAGTTGAGCACCTTAAAATGACTCTCTGCTGCAATCACATGATCTGAGACTCCCAAACAAGAAGCACAGAGAGAACACACTGAGCTCATAAGGGATGCTACTTATGTCTTGACTAGAGTGGAATGGAGTAAGTTGGTGATTCACAACAGCTGAAGTTAGGACAGAGCCCAGAGAGTAATCTAATCGACTATGCTATCAACAATGGAATAAAAAAAAGTGTGTCAAATGCAGATATTTTTCTAGTTTCCTCTTTCTTCTACCTAAAGGGTACTTCTACCTAACTGATTACTAAGATGCAATCAATCAGAAATTCTAGAGGCAAGGATAGGAAAGCCCCATAGTTCCCTTCCTTGCTCCAGGGAAATGACTCTATAAAGCTCTCTCTTCTATCTCTGAGGAATCAGTCTACAGAGTTCTCTCCTCTCCCCAGAGAACCAACCAATTTCTATAGCAGTCTCTTCTTTCCCAGGATCCAATTTATGGAGCTTTTTCTACTGCTTCCCAGGGGAAAATCTAGAAGTTGCTTGACAGACTGTAAATTCACAGAAACCGTGTAGCGAATCACTTACCCTTCTGGAAGCCACTGGGGCAAAGAAGGGTGACCATCATCCGGAATCTTTAAAAGAAGATAGAAAAAAAAGTTAGATCCTAGAAAAGATGGGAGACAGCCATCTTTCTTTGGTCAGGCAGTGAGCAGTAAAGTAGGAAGCTCAGAGAAGTGTAGGCCACATACACAATGTGGCAACATCGCCAGACTGATGCCTAAGCCAATGCTCTCATCAGCCAGAGCAACAAGCAGGTTGCTGAAATGAACACTACTTTGTCTCCTTTCTTCCTACTGAACAGGAAGGATATAAGGTCAAGCTCACTGAGATCTCAAGGCTAAGGTCCACTGGGAGTATGAGAGGTACCAGAACTTACACCCCCCAACACACACACACACACACACACACACACACACACACACACACACACACACTTTCTCTCTCTCTCTCTCTCTCTCTCTCTCTCTCTCTCTCTCTCTCTCTCTCTCTCTCCTGGTATATGTAACAGAAGCCAAGTCCCAAAGAAAAAAATCTCCATTTGGGCTTCCAGGCTTCACTTAAGCAAAAGGACAACTTCATATAAAGTCTTTTCTAGTTATGTTCTTAGGTTCCCTTAGCTGTCACAGAGTGGTGAATTTCTGTATTCTCATCTCATCTTGTGATTTGACTTGGCTTAGGTTCTTTGAAGCCCTAACTCATAGACATTCTACATTTGATAAGCTCTCTCTATTTAACAAGAGAACCCAGGATAGATTGGATACTTAGATTATCTTCTGGTGGACTTTATGAACTTTATAATGAGAAATTGAAACCTGAGGTACCAAATAATTCAAGGAAGAAACCATTTAGAAAGTTTTTAGAGGTTTCTCTAGAAACAAATACACACACACACACACACACACACACACACATCCTTTAAGCAGTGTACAGAGAAAAGTTCCAAAGTTTCTAGGGCTCTCTCCAGACAACCAATGGTAAATGCTGTTTACACTCAATAAACCTAGTGCTGGCAGGTCTGGGGCATCCTGCCCCTTGTTCTTCTCTACCCCACCCCCAAAACTTTCCTACCCCCTGAGACCTGAGCTCCAGAACAAGGGAGGCAGAGGTGAGGTGTTTAACTTTGTACAGGGGGTAACATTTTGGGAGAGCCCCAGATGGGAGAATTAACAGACAAAATTAGGCAAGACAAAGTAGAAAATAGAGAGATAGGGCAGTCGTTTTATAGGGTGATGTAAAAGTAGGTAAGAATTACCCTGGATCAGCAGTAGGCTCCAGATGAACTTTGGGTTTAAGACCCTTCTCAGGTTGTATTAGGCAAGCCTATCTGCCTATTGCCTACAGCCCTTCATGAACCCATTTCACCTTATCTGGCTCTTGCTCTGGTTCTATGGGTGGGATAACATTAGGAAAGGGAGAGCCAGGCCCAAAAGGAAACCAGAAGTGGTTGATACACATCTAAGGTTGCTTCTGAGCCTATCCCCAGATTCTACCACCCAGGACTTAAATTCCCTACGAAAACAGTCACTGTACCGAGCAGAATTTTTTTCCCAGCTAGAATTAGATGTTTGCCAGAAACCATGGATCTTAAAGAAACAAAGTCACGAAAAATCTCTGAGACCCAGGGTTCAACAAGCTCAGATTATACATATATCCTGTGCTTAGAGGAGATAATGGGTCTGCTAAAGACTGCAGACAAAGCATAGAACATACAGACAGAGGTACTGGAGGACTGAGAGTGAGAGGAGGTCTGATAAAGTACCTACAGCAGATACATTCATAGACACAACTTACGCCTAAGGGAAACACAAGGTGATCATGGATCCTGCACATAGGGTGATAAAACATGTGTGCACACCCATCTGAAGGATCCAGTGTTCACCAGGGCCTGAATCACGGGCAATAGCAAACCCTCACTGTCTTTAAGAACCAGTGCTTACAGGCACAGAGCATTAGTTATACTGTGCATTCACATGGCATGGGGGAAGCACATCACAGGTTGACAGAAGCTTAGGCTCACAGAGAGACCAAGAAACCTGCTCAGAAGCACAAAGCACATTCACAATTAGGACCCCAGGCAAGAGGTACAAAACGTCCACAGCAACTCCTTATCCCAAATACAAAGTGTATGCATGCTGGGCTCAGCCAGGGTTTACAGCAGATGCCAACCTGTAGTAACAAGCAAAAAATGGACAAACACTGTGCAAAGTAGAAGAGGAGGGGCAATCAGTGTTTGGGGTAGTCAAACTGAGTACAAGTATAAGCACACACATGCTACATTGAATGTGCACCATGCTGGCACACACATTCTTACACTGTGCTCCAGGGATGTCTGCAGGGGCACACACAAGAATGGAGCATGCCCACAAACTGCTTTCAGGAAAAACAGACTATCTGCATGAGCCAAAGCTCAGAGATACAGATCATAGATGTGTGTGCATATGCGCACACGCATACGCATACACACACGCACACACGCACACCGTGCTCAGGAGAAGGGCAGAAAATAGACAACAAAAAGGGCCCAAAGGGCCAGAAGCACAACCTGAATGGCTCCTCGCTTTCTTTCTGCAAGGAGAGAAAGAGCAGAAAAAAAGGGCAGAAAGGTTAGTAGATTTAGTCCCATTGCACGGAACCCAAAGAAAATGCCAGCTAAATCTCAAGAAACATAGAAGAAAGGAAGAGGTCCAGTTCACAGAGCCTAGCTTCCAGAATCCTTACCTCCTGTATTGGCTGTACCTGCTTTTAGTTTAGATCATTCCCGGTTTGGCTACTCAAACTAAAGGACAAAGTCTACCTGGGGATTTCAGTCACCCCTTTTTTCCCCCTTTCCCAACTGGCCTGCATGTAGCGTCACAGAAACCAGGGCCACAAGCTTTGTTACCAAAGGCCACTCCAACAGACTATCTGAACTGGCTAAGCACAAAGTGAGTTCCTACCTCAGAAGCTATATGAGCTCACTCTGGGTCTGGGATAAATTCTCAAACCCCAAAGGCCTGGTGACTGAACCCTTTCCATTTTACAGTGCAGGCTTGGCCATGCATTTGCCCAGCAAACCCCGGCCTGTTTTCCCAAAGCCTAAGTTAACTTAGGCCAGGTTCAGGCCTGATGTTAAGGCTAGGACCAGGATGCCCAAAAGCTACAGATGGGTGCATCAAATGGCCACTGCTCTAACAGAAGTCACCATAATCTAGATGATAAAACCATGACAGCAACCCCAGGCCTGATTATCTATTAAATCCAGAACAATGCACCAAAGGAAACCGATGCTTCCAGAAGAACCTTAGCAAGCCACAGTAGAGGAAGATGAAGTCCAGAGATTACTCCTTCTCCTATTCATCAGACTACATTGCCTACTAGGCCACATGTGGATAGCTCCACAAGTTTTCTTCTCTAAGGCAGGTTCATTCACCTGGGCCAATCAGCTTCCCCTCCATTTTTTCCCCTCCCCTCCCTTTTAAAGACCCACTGATATTACATAACAAGTAAAAGGGAGAATCATAGACACTAATTCTTAAGTTTCCACTTTTTCACCTATTTCTAATGGCTTAATGGGTCACCTGACTTGACAGAAGAGTGAATTCAGGAATAGGAATCCTTAAAAACAGTGTAGCTACAGGAGTGTGGACGAGCTGCAAAAGACACTTATTGGAATGGGGTCATATTGCCTCTGCATCTACTCCCACCTCCCTTACTGTATTCTGTTCTCTTTGAAAAAGAAAATTAGGCAAGGAACACTTTAACTGACCCTGTGATTCAAATTGGAAAGGTTTCTCTCCATCTCCACTATCTTAAAAATACACCCTATTCAACAAGTCAAGACTTACTTTGTGTCTATTCTTCCCAGAGTTCCCCATAATGCCTAAGAATCTGCTGACAAGGCTGTCAAGGCTCTCTACATATATATAATTTTACCCTTGTAGCCTGAGGGCTTAGCATATCTTCTAGCATTTGTATATAGTGAAAGGAACCTGAACTTTCAGGACTTAGGAAACAACAGCTTATAAGAAGAACATGTGTTTTGCCCGTCACCAAAGAAAACATAGGTCTCTTAGTCAATAGTCTGTACCATTTTCCAGACCCCAAGGAACTGATGTACTGGCTCTTCAGTTTGTTCTACCCATTGTACAAACTTAACAAACCCTTTTCTTGTTAAGAGTCAAACTTTTTGTGCTTCCCAATTTCCTAAAATGCCTTAACATTTTTCCACTCAAATTGAATTTTCAGTTCAAGTGCAATATATCTATAGGACACTCATTCTGCAAGAAAGAAAAAGATACCTCATCCCTAAGGATGATGGCACTCTTCCAGAGAATACATTTTATAAGGAAGTGACATCCTTTCCCATTATTAAAACAATCTTAACTCCATTGTACTTAGGAGTCAAAAGACTTGAGACACTCAATTTCATTTGAGCCTGCATTTCCTTATCTGTAAAAAGCAGATAAGAATGCTACCTCCCAGGGTTATAGCGAGGATTCACTTCTTCAACAAGTACTTATTGAGAACTTATTGCACACCAGGCAGTGTTCTCAGTGCTGGTAATGAAGCAAAGTGAATGAAACAAACTCCCTGATCTTGAGAAGCTTCTATTCTAGAGGAGGAGCTGATGATTAATAATGATGAAGATGATAATAGTTAACACTAAGTGTTATCTACATATCTAACATATCATGTATCTGATATTTTATTTAAATAAGCTCACTTATTTCTCCCAACAACTCTACTGGGTAAATACTATTATTATCTCCATTTTTTTATTGATTAAACTGAAGATCATCAGAGAGGTTAAGAAATTTGCCTGAAATCACAGCAAGGGGTAAAGCCAAAATTCAAAATAGGCATTTGGTTCCAGGATCTGGAACTATACACACACCGTATCACTCGTGATAGAGACTCTGCTGCAAAATTCAAGGAAGGGGAAAAGATAATGCACCCCCCATGGTGATGTTATAGGTACTATTAAAATTCTATTTTTTAAAAAGATTTTTATTTATTTGAGAGAGAGAGTGCAAGTGAGCACAGGGGTGGAGGGGCAGAGGGAGAAGCAGACTCTGCACTGAGCAGGGAGCCT